GAGACATGGTGTCCCTGACCGACTTTGGGACAAACTCATTGCCCGCACTCTGCAGCTGTTCCTCAGCCCTTAAGGCGAGGTAATCGTTTACCTCCGTGGCTATCCTGTCCACCTCTTGGACTTTCCTAGCTGCATGTAGGCTCCGTGCGGCTTTGGCTCTTTGTCCCGCCAGTTGGTCAGCCGCAATACTCAGCTGTCTACGCCATTCCTGCTGGGGGAACTCCTTTGCAAATTCCGCCTCCTCCTTGTGGGCCCTCACCCACGTCGCTTGGACCCTGGCCCGATGATGCCACACCTCTCCCCACTCCGGCAGGGAGGACTTATGCGGGACTCTTGAGTTAAGGGTCTTGAGGGCGCCTTTGCAATCAGTAGTAAGGTCTAGGGCACCATTAGTGTGCCTAAGCGCCTCGATAATGGCAGTGTGTTCCCCTTGAGGAACAGTGGCAGGGGGCATCAGGACACCAGAGATGGTCCCCAGAACCTCAACTTGGTGACCCTTCCGCCGCTCTATGACCACCGCTCAACCCACTGCCCTGAGGCGGGGATCCTTGGTATGTGGGCCACCACTTGCATCGGTACCTACTACCAGGCAAGACACGTCTCGCCTTCCAGAAAAATGCCTGTTTTCTCAAGTTAGCACTTCTCAGCCTTATAGGCGAGACGCGTCCAGCCGGAAGGGACCATGCCCCGCAGCCAGAAACACTGGTGCGGAAATCTTCTGCGGAAAGACACCGCAGCCTGACTGAGCCGGTACTTCTTGGACCTGGGGCATTCATACATGACATGCTGCAGGGTTCTTTGTGCCCACATTTGCAGATGGCCGCCCCGCCGTTGCCACTATGCAACACCTGGCCCTGCCAGACTGCCCTGTAGGCATGTCTAAGTTTCTTAGTGCGGGGAGAACGGAGAAGGCGGCGAGGAATTCCAGTCCACTCCATCTCCTGCACCTTTGGCTGTGGCAACATTGCCTATCCTGCCGGCTCGGAATTCCTCAATTGCTGTACGGAGAAAACCGCGGATCCTATGTGAGCAGGTGGGATTGCCAAGGTCAATCCTAAGCTGCCTGCCCTTATGCTTCCACAGAAGAGGATCCGTCGCATCTATTCCTTGGCACATAGCTGCCACTGGACCGGCAACCGTCTTCCATCCGTGGATGGCTCGGGACTGTCGTTGCCAGGCAACACGCCATGTGCGTTGAAGAATTCTCGAGCCTTGAGGCGAGATATTGACAAAGGCCCTGAAAAGGGCATCCGCTTGCTCAAGGACCACTTTTTGCAGAGGATCCTGTACCTGATGCGACATCAGATCTAGGATGACGTCTGTGGAACCGAACTGACTCCTCCCAGCATGACGGGCCAACGCAGCTCTCACAACCCTCAAACGGTTAGGCGCAACCCCTTGTCCCTGATGACCACACAAGCCGGCGGCAAGAGGAGAGGCGTTGAAAACCCTGGTCCGTAGGCGTCTGCTCAGCTTAAAGCTCCTGAGCTTGGAATGCCTGGAGAGGCAAATTCTGAATCTTTTGCGGCGTTTCGCTCCTGCAGAATCGAGCCCTAAATCCTTGATCAACTCCGCCACCTCCGGCATATTTGGCCCAGCCATGGCACGGAGTGCCTTCCGAGACTTAGCATTGTTGACCACGAATTTGGTCTTGCCCATATTGAGCTCCAATCCCTCTTCGTGCAGTAACCGCTTGAGGGACCGGTACACATCAACACTTAGGGAAGCCGCTATCTCAGCATCCTGGTGTAGGTTGTTAATTTAGCCAAGGTCGGTGCACAAGGACATCCTTGCAACATGCCCCTTTTGGGCCAGATTGATGGGGAGGCCACGCCCTCCCCATACAAGCACCTAGGTCCTTCATAAAGTTGTACGGCCAACTCCAAAATCAGGCTGGGGAAGCCCAAAAGCATTCCCTGCTGGGCAAGGCGCTCATGGCTGACAACATCGTAAAACCCCTCCAGGTCACAAAACAAAGTGATGAAGGTTTGACCCCTGAACTTTTATGATCCTCAGCCCTGATCAGGCGAGCTAAGGCCGGGTCCAGGCTGGTGTGGCCAGGCACAGCCGAATCATAGCCCGATGCGCGGCTGTACTCCTCCAGCCAGGCGGCGAGGCTCGACCTTCTCAATTTTGTCCATATGCGCCAAAGTACCGACGTGAGAGAGATCGGTCTTTCTTTGAGCGCAGTCTTTGGCAGCAGGGCTACCTGCACCACCTGAAGCTGGAAACCGATGCTGACCTGGCCCTCCATTTCATGATACAGATCGGTCAGCATCTGATACCCCTGATCGGTGAGGTTCCTGACCGCCTTGTAGGATCAACAGTCTATGCCTCCCTTTTTGTTGCCAGTTTTGCGGCAGGCTGCCTTTACATCCTCCCACTGCAAAGCGTGCTTGCTTGCATGCGGGCCTCAGCCTTCAGGCGAGTTCTGGTGGCCGTTGATTCCACCTGGGGCCTTATCAAAGCGCCATCCCAAATATGGGACCAAAACTCCATCCGAAGGTACGCCCGACACAAAAGGCTTTTGTCCCGATACGGGCGCAAGGTGGTTTGCTCAGGGCCCTTGATGGCCTTATAGACCGGCCCCAACCTGTTGCGGGGGCAACTGCTGCGCCCGGAGCCAGCCATGGGCGCCGCTCTGCTAACCTGGCATTGGTAGCCTCTGCCTCTGCTGCTGCCCAGTACCCTCTAAACTCAGCTGTGGCTGAGAAAGCCGCACACTGGACTGAGACAGGATCAGCAGCCTGAAACTCAAGAATTTGAACCCTGTCAGGCGACCGGCTGGACTTGATCAAGCCTTTGGTCCTGAGTGATCAGGTCAAAGTTGTCCATACATACCCTCAGTCCTGGGACGAGGTCTTTAGTGGCTTCAACTTGCCAAGCAAAGTGCAGTGCACAATGGGGCTTGAAAGGAACCGCCCAGTCAGGCCGTACACGGACAAAGCGATGCAACGACGGGTGTATGAGCGCATAGTCCAACTCATTTGAACCTCCCGCCGTGCCACGCCCCGTACCCAAGAATTGACCCTTGAGGACCTCATTCAAGCGTGTACCCAAAACCTCCGGCAGATGGGAGTTCCAATCCCCCGCTATAAACCATGGGCATCGCAGCGAAGCTATAAGGCTTTTCAGCTCCGCTAAAATGCTAGCGTTAACCACGCCATCAATGAAAGAGCCCGATTGCAAGTACATCGAGATGCAGGCCACGTTAGTACCCGCAAAACGGACCATCACAGCCTCGAAACCACAGCCGGTGGTGGGATCCTGGAACCTGTGCAGGGAGGCGCCTTTCAGGTGGGCTTTGACAAACACCGCACATCCTCCCACTGGCTGCTTCCTTGACGGGCTTGGCTGTGAATGCACTTCGTAGCCCAACTTTGCCATTGCAATGGTTTCTCTGGCCAGGGCTTTCCTCATGCCAGTGCAACTCCTGCACTAAAGCCACCTCAGGGCCTGCATCCACCAGCCATTGCCTGTGCTCTGACCTCCATGAAGTGACATTGGCACAGAGGACTGTGAACTGGCGGGGTGCCGAGGTCTTTCGAGTCGAAAGTGCAACATCTTCGGCAGCCCTCAGGACCCAAAGGTCCCGGAGCGAGAGCCACAGCTCCGCTACCACCTGCGAACGCAGATGGTAGCCCAAAGGTTCACAATGCACTCACCGAAAGCTCCGCACGTTTTTCCGTCAGCGCTCGAACTACGTTCCATAGGCTACAAGGGGCCCCTAGGAAACAGCGGAGGCACACAAGCTTCTCAGCATGCGCTTCCAAGAAGTGCTGCAACAGCAGTGGGACATATACTTTCACACATGGGCATCTACCTATTGACCGATTCTTCACTGCCAAATCGAATGGCATGAATAGCAAGCCCTGGAGCCTGTGGGTGTCACTCCTTGAGATTACACCATAGCACGGGGCGGTTCACGAACGATGCCATATTTCCTAAGAGCTTATGGTGCGGTATCCCTCGTGCTCGCTGGTACAAAAAACTGTGCCACAACCCTGCCATACCCTGACCCACTGCACACAGCTTGGAGGTGCAAAAGACATCTCACACAATGAGGCCCACACTCGTTGCATGCTAAGATCTTCGGCATGGGATCCTCCCACAGAAAGCACAGAAGAGTGTTTTGTCTGTGCTTTACGGCTCCGCGAGCTTAGCTTCAGAAATGGTTTTTCTGAGCTCTTCTCCCGCAAGCGCATCCGCAAACTTCGCGCCCAGAAGAGGGCGCCGGCAACAGGCGGCAAGTTGTAGAAGATAGGAGCATCTGCGAGGGAGAGCGAGGGACAATGCGGTGCTGCAGCTGTGTGGCTGTGCGGCTGTGCGGCCTGGCTCGCAGGCGTCCACCCGGTCCACGTTGGCTGCAAAGCCAGCCTGAAAACAGGGGAAAAATCAGATCAGGAAGAATCGGAGACCTGCATAGCCTCGAGCTCCTCGACATCCTGCTTGTACTGCCCAATCATAGCCTCCATGGAGTTGTCTTACTTCACAAGACCCAAAACACAAAGTTTCAGGCCACCCCTGCCTGCTGCTTTCGCACCAGCTCCGCCTGAAGCACCGGCCGCTCCAGCAGCCCCTCAAGAAGACGACAACCCCCCCCAAAAAAAAACAAAGACTCTACATCGCATACGTCGCCACGTGCTCTTCATCTCTTGCCTCAAAGGCATCCAACAACTTGGCACGGCCATGCAGCGTGTCCTGGCCCAGAGTTGCGCAATCATTTCAATAACACATGCCCCGCTTGCTCCCTGTGCATCCCGCAAAAGGCAGTTGCGAGCACTTGGGCCCCACTTGGCATGCTCATCTCCCCCACACAAAAACGATCATTTCAGAATTGCAGGATTGTGTGAAGCCTCCTGCCGTGGGACTTGTGTGGTTCTCGGGTGCTGAATCTCGCACAGCCCTGTGAGACAGTGGCTAGGGCGTGGTCTTGCTGTCTGCAGTGCAAAGAGCACTCGGAAAGAGCAGCAAGAGCTATATGGTGAGCTGATGCCAATGATGTGCCCTGAGCCTGATAGAAGCAAAACATCCCGAATCCAAAGCTTTCTGAATCCCAAACACATTCCTTTGAAATGCCTGAGCGGAGCTGTGATATCACCACCGATGGCCATATGCGTCCTGGTCCCGGAAGGCCGCGGCCAGGATGGAGCCCAAGCGCCGGTCCAGGTCGCCTCAGCTGTCTCCCAAGCCTCTTTGAAGCCACAGTTTGGAATGGTTTCACTTCTTCCAAGTCTGCTCAAGGCACGGATGGTCAATCGGAACTCGTGGAAGTCTTTGATGAAGTCCGTCTCCTTCACCTTTCTACTGACTCTATTGTTCACGTATTTTGACATCACACTACATTCAGGCAGCAACATCGAAGATGTCATAGGGGACCTGCCCTCGCATGTGAGAGCATACAGAGCCATGGGCTTGCCATCTCAAAACCTCTCTTGGAGTCGGGCGAAAATCTCCCACCGCCTCCCCAAAAGGAGCAGTAAGTGTCGTCAGTTTTGGAGCTCTTCAGGCCTTGTCGAACTCTTCGTGAACCTTCCTGACTGAGGACGAGAGCACCTCCCCTTTGGTGCCTTCACACATCTTCAACGCCAAGAGCCTCTGAGTGATGCTGAGCTTGCCTCCAATGTCAACTCTCTGAAGCTTGTTGAACTGCAGGACGGTCTTCACAAAATCAAGGATGTCCGATACCTGAAGCCATGATGACTTGATGACATGTGTGATAGCACCGATGTGCACCTATTTTTTTGTAGATGTTGAGGCTGCTGTGACCCCGCGCACCCGCTCGCCGAAGGCTTCCAGTCGCCCGAATACCACGGCGCTGCGCAGCCGCCAGCCGCCACCCGCAGCTCCTCGACGAAAAAGGGCAGTGGAGACAAGTCAACCGAAAAACTGCTGTGCCACCGCGTTTTCCGTCGCTCTTTCAGATTTACGAATTCTCAGGGGCCCCTCCTTCAGAGTAGGCCCATCAAGGAGCATGTGTAGCTCTCCTTGATCAAAAGCGCAGACCGCGGCTATAAACATCTGGGAGGCCTATCGCACTCCTCTACTCCTCACGCAGCGAGGTTAGGTCTGCGTGCAGGCGGGAAAGTTTTGGCTGCAGGATGGGGAGAGGCAGGTATTGACCTTCGGCGCACAGCAAGCAGCCCAGGGCATACCTGGATGAAGAAAAAAGTTAGAGGCTGAGTACAAAACTCTTTTCGAAATGCGAAGAAGTGCTAGATTGGTGCTTAGTGCTGCGAAGGCGCAGGTGTCGATCTGCGTGGTGGCGAAGCAGGTGGCCCCTGAGGAGCACAGACTGATCCGCGGCGCGCAGCACTGGGTGCCGTAACCCCTCAGAACAAGGAGGAGAGGAGAGGAAAGAGGAGAGGCGTGTGAGGTTGAGGTGCGAGAAGCAGAAGTTTATTTGTAGGACGGAGATTCTTTTTAAACTCGCGCAAAATTTAAAACAAATGAACTAACTAGAAAGCTTTTGACGTTTTGCAAGCTCCACCCACAAACGTAGATGAGATCGCTGGCGTAGCAGGTCCCTTCGGTGCAGCTGTTCAGAGCAACTCCATCGCTATGCCCAAGGATCGTGACAGCGTCGCACTGGAAGGAGGGGAGGCCCGTGGACGTCTTGACATCCAAAGTTGTCGATGCTGTGACCGTTGAAGTCGACTCCAAGTCCGCGGAAGCAAAGACAAAAACCCGTAGCCAGCTCAGCCAAACCAACAGCCTCAGCCAGCTCAGCCAGCTCAGCCAGGCCACGCCGGGGATCTGCCCCATGGCCCGCTGTTCAATCACTGGTTTTTCTATGTTTCATGTTATTTGACTCTGACGTGGTATGACGTGCCGTAGGCGAAGGATGGTGAAGGTAAGTGCTGCATGTGGTAAAGACCTGCTCTCGAGCAGACTCTCAAGAAAGCCAAGGATTGTGATGAGAAAAAAGGCGGACAAGTTCAAGCTCTTGCAGCTTAGCACAACTCAAATCAACTCAAGCCTCCTGTCGTCTCTGCGGGTCGGGTCCTGATCGGTTTCTGACAAGTTGCACCAAATGACAAACCACGCTGTGCGCTGTCTCATCCGGGCTGGGATGCAGGCAAGTCTGAGCTTGGGCCTCGCCGGTTTAGCTTTTGGATTCTGAATTCTGCTTCTTTCCACGCTTCCCACAACTGGGCCTTGCTCAGAGAGGCTGCGGTAGCTGTGATAGGAGTCCTGGGCAGGGAAGCTTTGTTCGAAAACAGGCAACACCAAACCTTGGACGCCGTCCTGTAGGCATCCAATTGCTCGAAGCACGTGCTCCAGCATGCTGCGGCACTCCAAGGCCTCTCGGAAAGAGGCTCATGCAATTCGCTCGCACCCGCCTCAGCTTTAAAGCACCTCACTCTGCAGAATCATCTCAAAGACGCTGCTCCCAGAGATGTAGCGTGTGGCCTTCAAAGCATCCCCCAACATTGGTGCACACAGAGACGACCCCCAAGTCCACCCAGGTGCGCTGCGGTGCGCCTGTGCAATGAGGCTGTTGCAAACCTGGCGCACGATCACGGAGAGCCGCGCCAGGGAGTTGTAGTACTTCGAGTGCCTCTCTTGCGCCAACCCGGAAGGAAGAAAAAGCAAGACTCCTTTGAAGTTCCGGAGGTTTTCCCTTAATGCTCACAGCGAGAGCTCTCAAGTCTTTTTTGCTTCTGAGGGGTTCGGAAAACTCTTCTCCCAGGAGGACCGGAGTGGCAGCTTCCGGAAACTCACAAACTCTCTCTCTCCTTCTTCCTTCCTTATCTTCCTTCTTCTTTTCTTTCGTCTCTTTCTGCTGGCCTCCGACTCTCGAGGTCTTCTCTCTTCTCCTTCCTTCCTTCTTCTTTTATTCTTTCCTTCGCCCCCATCCTTCACTGCGGTCTTGTCTACCTCTCGACCTTTGTTGGAGAAGTGGAGGGCAGCCACACAAAGCCTTCATTGGACCTAGAGAGGAAGATATTGTTCATCGCAGAAGTCAATCCAAAATCTATAAGTTTCTGCCTCCCTCAGCTTGTCCATCTTTGCCACACGGTATCTACACTGGTGCTTACAGCAACTTCTGTCTCTCTCTCGCGCACACTCACATACCCCCTCCTCTTGGCGCAGTGGCCCACTGCCTCCAGACGAGGAGAAGGACGTGGAAAATGTCGTCAAAGACTTGCTCCAAAGCCTGGCATAGGGCAAAGAAGTAAACCAGGTAAGCCTCGAACGAGACCGTGCCTCGAAGTCCTGGGTCTCGCTGAGCAATGCATCTACATGCGGCTCCAACGCCTTCAGAAACCTCACATTGTCGTTGGCCTCCTCTCTTCCATCCTCTCAAGAAATCAAGATGGACACAAGAAAAAGCCGTGCTTTGGCGTGCCAAATGAAAAGTCCTCGACTTCCTTTTGCAGCCTTGCAAAGGGTGCCACATAGGTGCTCTTGTTGGCCTCCAAGAAGCGAAGCACCTGAGCCATGCGTTAAAAAGAATATATATAACGTAAGAAAGCTCAGTGCAAGGAAAGGACCAGCGTCTGGGGTCCGGGCTCTTTTGACTCCCTCCATTTGGAGTTGCATGTGGATGCTGTTCAGATTGTTGGCTCGGCTCCGCCAGAATTGCAGCTCCGCATCCGGCTGCGGACTTCCTTCCCTGAAGACGTGCTCCGGCTCCTGAAGGGACAGTCTCTTTCTACAAGAAATCATGCTCACAATGCTGCTCCTCGCCTGCTTCAGCACATACCTGACCTGCTTTGTCCAGGTAATGACCTCAGCCACACACGGCCTCAAAGGTCTCAACGGGAGTTGCTCCAACGGAAATCGAGGTGGCCAGGCAAGCACAACATGTCGGAACTAGCAAGGCGGTCTCCGAAGCCAGGAAGCAGGGAAACAAATCGTTGGGAAGCCAAAAAGCGAAACTGGTCACGTCATGTCGCCACCTGAGACGGGCACGATACGGCAACTCGAGCACATGCCGCGGCGCGTATACTTTTGACACAAGGCCCACAGCTCACTTGTTGGGTGAGGGATTTCGAATACCCACAATTTGTGTTGACTTTTGCTGCCATTCGCTTGGCCAACGGTTCGGGCAACGTCGCGATGACGACTGCTCGAACATGGATGCGGAAGACGATACCCAGCAAACCGCCATGGCAGCCGAACTCGAGCTACAGCGGGCCCGACGGCAGGAGCAGGCGGCGAAGGATGCAAAATTGCACCAAACGCGTGCGGAAAGGGATCGCATGCCTCGCTGTGGTGCCAAGACAGATACCAAATCAGACGGAGTGATAGATTTGACCTCGGAGTGCAACAGCGGGGCTTCGGCTCCTCGTTAGGCCCGTGTACGAGCCGCAAAGAACTACATGGGCAGGTTCGCAGCTTGCTGAGCCTGGCGCATTCAGTCGTTAGCCCAGCTTCTGCGGAGTTCAGTGTTTGATGAAGGTAGTGCTCGCAGTGCGCACTACGCTTGTGTCAATTTTGGAAAGGCCATGTGTCCAGCCTGGCAGGAAACCACACCCTCGTGCCTTCACATTCGGTTTGCGAACTTGCAGTCGGCTCAGGGATGCTTTCGATCCACAAACAATACCGAAGGCGCAGCTGGTCGCGAACAGGGCAGAGCTCGTCGTGGATGGAATGTAGAGTCGCGAACAGCGCATGTTTTGCAGGCGTTGCGAATTGCTGGCACATGGGACCAAGGAAGGGCCGATTTTTCATAGCTAGGCCTAGCCTTGGCCGTAAGCAGGGTGGGCGTGTGTAATCTGTAAGCGCAACAGGGTCAAGTGCATGGCTTGGCTTGTCCGGGCCATGTCAAAGGGCTGCTCGATTGCATCAAGGACAATCTTTAAACGGATATCTTCCTGAATGCCCGGCTATCCTTAGGGAATCTGTGTCTGCTCTTGCTTTCAGAAGCCAGGTTGTTATCCATTATGATTGCCAGAGCACCGCGTGGTCGACCACCGGGTCAGTCGCGTGCGTTGACAGAATAGCTGGAGCTGCCAGTGGAATTTACACGATGTTGAGAATCAACGGCACAATTCCTCAGTTCCAGCATGCAAGGCCAGATGTTGGAAGTCCTCAAAGGAATTGGCAAGATGTTTTAGCCAAACAAGCCACGCGGAGTGGCAAGGTCATGAATTGTTGAGGATGTTGTGCCCTGGTAATGGTTGGCCCTTGAAGAAACGAAGCTTCAGCCGCAATGGCTGACGTCACATTCCATGGAACCAGCAGGTGTCAGTCCATTGGGCTTGAGGTAGTCCAGGACAGTCTTGTGACGGAAAAGGCACATCCCACAGAGAGCACTGGCAGCGTGGCCAGATTGCGTCTGGTGACAACGCTATGACACTGAAAGCCATGGCAAAGCTTTTGTGCAGGGAAAGGGTTGACTTGGCTGGGATTCAGGAGACAAGGGGCAGCGAAGATGACATCGCTGACGAGCTAGGCGATGGGTATGCATACTGAAACGTTTGCGCTGCGGAGACCGTGGTCAGTGCGGAGTGCAGATTTGGATCATAGATTTTTTGAGAAGTTTTGCATTGTGCACCGCGGCCCTGGCATGTGTGCATAAGTGACAAGATCGGGCACTCACACACGCTCATCTATGCAGCGCGAGCGCCGCACAGCTTTGCTGGCGATTGTGTGCTCTCCTTAGTTGACTGCAATGTTGCAACAATGTTGTTGTTGGACTGTTGGATGGAGATGCACGTTGTGCTGTCAGTTCTGACGGATCTCGCGACGCCGCCATCCTGCCAGCAAAAATGCGGCTTGCTCGAGGATTTTTCTCTTGCCATTACTGTCTGTGTGGCAAAGACACTTTCGGACTCAAGGAGCCCTCCATAGTTGCTCACGGATGTTGCTGTCAGGATTGATGATGGCGGACCCAAACAGGCTGACATAACCCCCCCTTGCCGAAGAGGTTTCCTGCGAAAGCGCCTGTCAGTGAAGATGCTTGGGGCATAATTGAGAAGCGTGCTCAAGTTCACAAGGTTGGCAGCTGTTTGGGAAGTGTCACATCGAGTATTCTACACGTGGTGGTATCTTCTTCATCTTGCCAGGTCTCCCTTAGAGACGGCCAATTGCTATGCAGGAATGTTGGGTTCCCCGCGCTGACGGACGAGGTTCAGACGAGGGAGACGTTCACTGCACATTGTGCTGAGGCGCTGAGTAATGACAGCTGACATCAAGTACAGTATCCAACCTCTGCGACGGAGAATGAACTGCCATATATGGCAGTGCAGGATATCCCCAGTCCAGGATTTGATGAATGCCTCTTACAGTATCACATGGCAAGGAAGGCTACCGGGACTGTCGCGAATCCGCGGAAGCTTTGTCGGGTGCGACTGTTAAGTCAGCAACAATGTTCTATCCGATCCTTTGAAGGTGATGGTCAATGGGGTTGCACCGAGTGACCTGAGACACTTGCTGTCGGTCGCAATACCCAAGCCCGAATAAGCCGCTTGGCAGTTTGGGAGCGTGGCGATCTATAACCATAATGGATCTGACCATGAAGGCGCTACAAGGGGTCGATAAGGCAGAAATTGGTCGATCACTTGGGGCCTCACTTCGCGGACTTTGCGGACGGGCAAGGCGGCGCAAAAACGGGATCTGCAACATCAAGGCACAGATCTTGATTCGGGGTCACATCCGAAGGCTGCATCAATGGCATCAGATGCGGCAGTTTTCCTTGACAGCATAAATGGCTTCGATTCTGTTAGAGAATTTCTTTTTGACTCTGCCAGTAACTTTCATGAATCGCACTGTGGAACATGCCCTGGAACGAGCATAACAGACCCCACCATGACAGGTGCAAGCCGCGGTCTCTTGAGGGGAGAAGGGGGCTTCGGGGTGGCCCTCATGGCCTCGTGCCATGCGCCGGAATTGACCGTGTCAGGACAGGCAGCCAAGCCCTGGAACACTCCTTGCTGACATCTTATTCCAAGTGGCGTTTCTCCGGAGCTTGCGCGAGTTACGCATACTGCTCGTGCTAGCCGCGCACCAGTTTCTATTGAGGACCCCGTGAGGGTACGAGGTGCATGAGGCTTGTTGGCGCCCCAACACCTGATTGAACATGTGAAGGTTGTGGTTCCGCATGCTTACGCTGCACTTGAGGTGGATGGAGTGAAGACAAATTGCTCACCAGACAACACGGAGATCCTAGCGCTATCAACGGACCGGACAGCGGGGCTCAGAGGGCGAAATCGCTTACTGATGATAAGCCGTGTGCCGGTTCAACTTCCTGATAGGCAACTTGTTGAAGTACTTCCTACTCAGAATTGTTCTGTGCATCTAGGCAATGTTGTGCACCACATGGGAATCAAGAGAAGTGATGTTTTCATCATCAGGCAACATCGCATGTTGAGTCAAATTGTCTTGAAGCCACTTTAAGCCAAGATGCGGAAAACAACCCACACTTCACTCTTGCCTAAAAGAAAGTCCTTGTTCACAGGGTTGATAACAAGTTGTTGGTGGGGGCTGGGGCAGCGCGTGTCAGGTCAGAAGCAGGATTGAAAGCTTGCGTGGCCAGTTGTCATGGGCACTGAAGACAATGCTGCATGCATGCTTGGGGTCACATCTGCTGGCCTTGTTGATGAACAGGTGTAAATCTTGCTTGGAGTAGCAACTGCTCATGAGGTGATCAGGGTAGCGAGAGTTATTTTCCTGCTTCAGATGCTTAGGGAGTTTACGCCGCATCTCTTGAGCATGCTTGCACTGGTTTGCGCCACTTGTTGCAGGGGACGTTTCTGCCGTTGGTTTTCATTTGAAGCTTGAAGGCCTGCAGCATGTGCTGCATGGAGCTTGGGAGATGCTCCAGTTCTTGACGGGTGCGATTCCCATCTCCAAGGCAGCCAAGAGACGTCTCGAGAGATGTGTGCAGTAAAGGGACTGGCGATAGGCTGAGATCCTTCAGCTTGCACGGTTGAGGACCAAAATTCGGAAAAGCTCCTGTTGCGTATGTTGAAGGACCATCTTGTTGGCAATCATTATGTGCGCATGGATTGTGCGGCTTGATGTTTGTGACCGCGATGGGCTCGCGTAGACAGAGTTTCTCAGAATAATCCCCAAGTGATCCCTAGTAAGAACTCCGTGGTCCACTTAATCCCCATGTACCACATACAGGCTCACCCGCTTTCAGTTGGCATAGACAGAAGCTTCATCAAAAACCGTCGGACATGACCGCAATGGCCAGGGCAGCGTGTGCCAAATGAGCTTGAAAGACTTTAATAATTACCACCAGTCGTTTCTGAAAGCCCTTCAGGTCTGCGCAAACATGTCGGTTGGCCCTCAGTCACAGCGATACGTGTGGAGATGGACCCGTCATCAAGGGGTCTGAATCTGCGTGGCTTTTGCCGCGTGCTGTCAATGGCCCTTTGGGCACTTTGGGCGCCGCTTACGAGTTGGTGATGGTGTGCCCAAGCCGAATGGCATGAACTCTGCGATCACTGGCGAGAGAACTCAGTCACTCGGTCACTCGTGTGGTCTTCTTTTGGGAGAAGGTGGCCTTCTCGGCGAATCCGACTTTCTGGGAGCTCCAGCGGAGGGGCTTTGAGCTGAGTGCACTATTCAGGCTTTATAGGACCAAGCTGCGTGGCTGGGCACAAGCTCGGCTGAGAACGGCGCTGAGAGAAATCAATCCCACAAAGGAGCCTTCTTGGTGAGCCTACAACCTAAGCCTGAACCAACATACACCCTGTCAACATCTGTCGACATCTGTCAACCGTGTCGACTCATGAGCAAAGACGAACCATGACTTTGAGCATTGAGCAGCTTCAAAAGGTGCAAGCTTGATTGGATCTTTGCCGAGACACGGCGCCTTCCAGAACATGGACCCTGTCCTGTCACCGTATTCGCGTCTGTCGTTGTGTTCCGTTGGTATGAAACTTTCGCCTGAAATTCCCTCTTCCCTCACGCCTTGCTGGAAGCCGCGGGTGAGATCTTGCCTGGCATTGGCAGGGATGTAGGGAAGGGAGAAAGGCTCGAAAGGCTCAAAGAGACCTTGGCCCGGACCAGTGGGTCCTTCCTGCAAGTGCAAGAGAGGCGCTCTGCAAGTGAAGGGTTGAAACACAGAACACGAAAACTGCGGTAATCCTGCACGGCCTCCCTTGGAGGCAGAGGCAGCAGCGTCTGGCCCTGGCAGCCGCATTTTTTGTTGGTTTTCGCGTTTTTTCTTTTCAAGATAATGAGACAAAACCCACCTGTCGCAGGCCCACAGTCACATGAAGGCTTGCTAGAAAGCCTGAGACATGCGCATTACACGATCAGATCAGCGCAGATCACAGCAGATCACATGAGAGCCAGGCCATGAAACTTGTCCAACAGGTCGCGGGTTATCAGATCGGACCAGCCCCGTTGATTCGCAGGGTTCATCAAGACGGAGAGGTAGACAGAGTGGCAGTAGGAGTTGATGAGGTCCATGATGCCCTCACCAGAAACCGCTGCAGCCCACCCTTGGTATCCCTTGGTCACCTCACCTTTCACCCAGCCAGCCTTTGCCAACTCCACGAAAACAACAGAAGGTCTCCTGCCCGGGCCTCAAACAAGTTCACTTTGCATCCTAAAACACCGCTTGACTGCTTCATGCTGCTTCTGAGGTGCCGAGGTCGATTTCCACCTCATGCTTGGATCGCACCAGGGCAAGGACCTGATTATCAAAGCTTTGCTATACTTCGCTATGCTCCGAAAAGAGAAGGCTTTCCACCCCGCCTTCTTCTTGAGCTGAGCTGCCTGGCCGCAGAATCAAAAAAAAGTTAGGTCACAGGATGCTCAGCTCGGCTCAGCTCAGTGCCGTAGGCAGGTCGCCGGAAACACTGCAGCTATCCCCATTTCCAGACCTAAGATGCAATTATGGTGCAAAAAACGGTGCAGGGGTATAGTTGGTGAAGTTGGGAGATGTTGGGTGAGTCCTGCTTGCAAGCGGCAAATGAAAGAAGACAGCGGGCACTTCCACCTCAGGCTTTAGGTCCGGTCATCCGGTCATGAGTGGTGGTGGGATGTCGTGGGTGGGCTCCTGAGCTTCCCGGGCCTCATTCAAGAAGTGGTTCAGCACCCTGCTGGAGTTGGAGTCTTCGCCCAATTGTTGGAGAAACTTCTCCTCGGGCCGGGGGGGGGACTTGCAAGACTCCGGCTAAGCAGAATTTGGGGCCCGCTCCAGCTTCTCCTTGCGCACAGCAAAGATGGTGCTGACCCTGACAGCCAAGAGGTAGAGCAGAACATGCAGAGCATGCAGAATCTCTAGGAGCCTACCGCCTGTCAGTCCCTTTTCATCCATCTGAATCTCCCTGCCTTCGTAGGACCCAAAGCCCTCGCTCATCGAAGGCACCCGCTCCCTGCAGAAATGTCTCTTCTCCTCCGCGATCGGATCTTCATCAAGCCAGGCCTTGTCCATGGCATCGTGTCCATGGCACTTGGACAAAGCTGTTTCTTAAAGCTGTCTAGGCAACATTTGCTGCTCAGCTGCTGCTCTCTTTTGCACTGTGCTGCTCTTACCTGCTCTTACCTGCTCTTACCTGCTCTTGTCTTTGGATTCGTCTTCGGATCCGTCTGAGGTTGAAGGTACCTTTCGCTCCGACGGGGTTTCTCCTGTGTACAGTCTTCATAGTTCTTTACACTTTCAACATCTTTCAACCCGCCTTGGTTTGAGGCAAGCGGAAGAGGTGTTGACTCGCACAGACGCTTGCAGCGTTCACAGAGCGTTCACAGCTCGCACTTCTCAGCACTCCGCCACGGCCCTGCCTCACGGCGCTGCCTCGTGGCATTAAGTCAGGGGATCAAAGAAGAGATCTCCCGGCTGAGCACTTGGCCTTGCGCCTCGGCAAAGGCAAGTTCCTAGATCACTGGTACTGACGACAGGTCGCCTTGCGTGCCCAGGCTTTGAGACCGAGCTCTGGACCGAGCTCCGCCGCTGGCAAAAGCAGGCCAAAGCATGGGAAAACTCGAAGAACAAGCCCGTCCCTCAGGCCTGCAGCAGGTTTGCATCGGGTTTGCAGCACTGCAGGCAAAAGTCTCGTTTTCCTGCCAGGACCATAGGTGCTGCAAGTGCTGAGCACATGGCAGTTGCGGTGCTTTTCGCTCTCATGGCTAAAGCACAGGCGGCTGCCTGCAAGGCAAGAAAAAAAAAAAGGAGGCCTTCGTGGCACTACATGCAAGGATACCTTCTAAGCTGCCAGGGTGCGGCCCATACCCGACATGACCGCAGGCTGCAGGCTGCAGCAAGCTGGACAAAAGCACCCTGCTTGCACCCTTGACATACGAGTAGCAAAACAGCCAGTGCCTCTCGGACAGATGCTTCTGCGTCATCCAGCGCTGCCACCAGCAGAAAGTCGCAGTCGCTGTCGCTGTCCCTGCATGGGACCGTGGCAGCACACAACGAGCACACACTTGCGGCACCTCTGCAGGCCAAGTCTGCCGAGAGCCAATACCGACGCCTCCTCAGAGGGCGGCAAGGATCCCATCGGAGCCCGTCCCAGGCAATCCCAGGCAATCCCAGAACATTCCAGTCCGTCAAGGCCGTCGAACCGCTGGTGAGTGGCTGGGGAAAAAGCACAGCCCAAACCGTAAGTCCAAAACCCGAAGACTCGGATCAGCATCGGCCGCAGTTGCCTCAAGCCCATAACAAAAAGACGTAGCATAGAAACATGCCAATAGCATGGCGTCTGAACGGTACCTTGAAATCCTGTAGAAACAGTACACAAACGCAAATTCATCGAACCATGCATTCTGCCAGCGTGTTCCTACAAGACAAGCACACAGAAGCACGCTCTTCTTGGGACATGGCGGATCATGCGGAACTAATGGAGCCAAGCAGCTGCCAGAAGTCGACGTGACTTGGCAACCCGAAGCTTGCCCAGTGCCTGGCTGCAGGAATTTTCAGCGCATTTGCTGTACAAGACATAGCTGGCCAAGAAATGCAATTAACACGAAAAAAACACGTGCTTTCTAGCTAAGCCATGAAGGCTACACCTACACAACGCTTCCGAGCCATTTCTTGCTTGGCTCGGCCCTCCAAGGGGTTCCCAAAAACCCCTACAATGAGAAATGTTGGGGGCTGCGTTTCCTGTCTTGGTGGTTTCTAGGCCTCCATCACCCTTAAAACAAGAAATGCAGGGGGCCACATTTCTATTTGGGGTGTTGTCCAGGTAAGCTAATCTTGCTCTTTTGGTGATCGCTACATTGCATACTAGGGGCTCGATGGCCTAATGGACAGGGCGCCCCTCTGAAACGACGTTTACAATACCAAGGGACTTGAACCTCACAAGAAGACATGATGATGAATGAGCGAAGAAACGAATGGGGATCCTACAGCTGGAGATCTGGAAAAGTGGAAATGTTAGATCATTACCTAGCTAAGAAATGAAGGGTACCCTCCACCAGGCGGACCGATTTCCTATCCTGTAAACGTTCTGACAAGAGCAACGAGAGCCAAAAAACACTTTGACTGCTACAACAGCATCATGTTTCAGAGATTTTCCGGATGATTCTTTCGCAAATCTAAACTTGGAAAGCTGCAGAGAAGTTGGAGCTCATTTCAGGCTTCCTCGGTTCCTTTCCGCGTTGGTATGGTACAGAAAAAGCAAGACTGTCCAAAGTGGCCTGCACAGCTCTCACCCGCAAGGACACCTATCAGTTCTGGGTCTGAAGGGTGCAGGTGATGCAGGCGCAAGTCTGCAAGTCTGCCACGTCCCAAGCCTCCGTTGCACCCGCTTCCTTTCACAGGTGCACATATTGCACATGCAGGCGCGCACAGGCACAGAGCGATGACAAAGCAAAGCAAAAGCGCTCCTGGAGCCAGCTTATGAGCATCTCCGCCGCCTTTTCCGCCTCCGCCTCTTTGGCAGCTTCCAGGGCCAGGCAGGCAAGGCCACGCACATCGAGATCTGCCACAGCAAGAAGTTCTCAAGGTTTGATTTTGAACTTCTGCGCCTTTGCTGCGCCTTCGTGGTAGAGCAAAGCTGCAGCGGCCTCCTGTCCTTCCCGGCCCAAAGAGCCCAGGGCCCAAGCAGCCGCTTCGCGGCCTCTAAACCAAGCCGAAGTCGCGAAGTCGTCAAGTAAGCCATTCGCTCTTGGTCTTGGTGCTGGACACTGAGGGTCCACCTCCTGAGGGCATCTTCTTTCGAAGCATCTCGCGAAGCATGTAAAGCATGTGCCCTTGGCCTTCTCCATGAGACGCTGCAGCCGAGGGAGTGCCCGCGGCGCAAACCGGGCGGCGCCTTGCCCAAGGCAGGCGAGAGCCTGAAGCAGAAAAGGGGCCAGCACCACACCGTGGACCGCACCTTGCGACCAGGACCACACCCCAACTTGAACCCTGAGCCCCTCAGCCTGGGCAGCAGCACGGCGGCCCTTCACCTCAAAGCTCAGCGCGTTCAGCTTTTTGGAGCTTCAAACTTGGACGACTTCACACGTGCTGCAAGTCCCAACCTCAGGATCCCGTAAGCAGCCTGGCCAAGGACAGTTTTCCAGTTTACCAGGCTCTCGCAGAAATCAACTGACCTGACGCTTGAAGAACCCTCATTTCCCACCCCTTCCTGCAAGAATCCTCCCAGCCATTTGGCTTCATGAACTCCCTTACGTAAGCGCTAAGCGCCTCCAACAGGCTTTGGGTGCTTCCAGTTGTAACCACTTCAAGACTTCTTTCAAAACTCCAGCACTCAGCCTTTCTCGAGAATACCAGAAATCATCCAGCTTCACGATGCAATCTCCATGCCCGTTCTTTTTTTCCTCCGACTTCCTAGCTGTCGGGCATGGAGACTCACGTACTCCCACAAGGCAGCATCACCGGCCTGAAAGTTCACCCTACAGGCGTGTGGATTCTTGTTGTTGCTAGCCGGTAGCCGCTAGCCAACCATCCAGCAACCCGCCATCCCCGCAAACCTAAACCCATGCGTGTTTCTCAAAACGGTCTGGATCGAGGACCAGCTGCAACGGGACTTGGAACGGAGAAATTCAGACGAAAGATGAAAAACTCCAACAGCACCAACTTTTGCACATGACGAGAAGCTGCGCTTTGCAACACCATGCAGGTTGCAGGCGTCAGGGCTAGCACTGGTTAGAAAGGCCAGGCCGTCTCCCAAGCTCTTGAAGCCAAGCCTGCAACAGCAGCGGCTGCGGGTGCAGCATGTGCAGCCAGCTCCTCCCACATAGCGAGTGAAATTTTAAGCAGAGCACCAAAAAAAAGCCACTGCAAAGGGAGCATTGGAGCGCTGCGCTTTGTGCCTGCAGGAGCTTCAAACCACGAAGCCGCGCGGCTAAAGCTGCGGCGCCTGAAACAACGGGACTGTCTTGGATGATCTTTGATGGTCTTTGGCTTGCTGCTTGCTGCTTACTACGGCTTACGACCACAAGATTTCATGAGATTATTGTTGACTTCAGAACTTCAGCAAGCTTCCTCACTTTTGAAGATTCCTTCATCCGCATCTCACTGCTTAGAAGCATGGGATGCTGGCTGAGTTGTGCTGAGCTTGGTGCCCGGATCTTCCGGTAGCAGTGCCTCCACCGGCGCACCCCGCTGCAGCAACCAGGCCACGGCACTTTGGCCTGGCCAAGAGTCCAAGAGATGCAAACAAAAAAAACGACCTTTCCGGAAGGGCAGCTTACGTCGTTTTACGTCGTTTACGTGATTTCCCTGCCTTGGCCTCCTTGCTTCCAGGCCCTCGCAGCAGCCCACTCCACGAGCTCACAACCACTCACACCATCACTCCTCCCACTCCTCCTGTGCAGCTTAAGCAAAGGTTGAAGGAATGAAGAGAAAGAACTTCTGCAACGCTGCAACAGCTCCTCTTGGCTGCGTGGACATGCCTCAGCTTTAACACATCACTCAAACTCACAGCGACCTTGCATAGTCCGCAGCACATGGCCTACAGGCACTGGCTGGGCATGCAAGAACTGCGGTGACTGAAAACGCTCCTAGCAAGCTGGCAGACGCTACATTGTTACGACGTTACGCAGTGGCGAAAAATGAAGCCCCCTCCAGGCACGGAACAGGTTTGCGCAATTTCAGGCTTGTCGCGCAAACACGAGAGATGGCTTCAGGACGATGGTGGGATGATGCAGCCTTCAATATCTTCAGTGCCATCAGCCTTCATCCCCTTGCAAGGGCCGTGTAGGCCAGGTGTATGGCAAGGTACCTCTCCGTACAGAACTCAGGCAGTGGCATGTTACCACGTTACCCACAGCATCTGCGGTTTTTCTCCAGCTGGTCGCTATGGCCCGACGGCCCACAGTCTGTAGCCCATGGATCGTTGAAGAACGCTCCAATGACAAAATATTGATGATAGCTCCGTCGTATGCTTTGCTTTGTCCTTCTCGCTTGCTTCATTGACTCGGTTTTAAGAGTCCCTCCCACGAGATGCACACCCCAACGAGCAGACATTACACTGAAAGGATGCATGCTGACAGCGACCTGTCTAGTCCGATCTCTGAATTATGTCAAGCCTGCTGAGCTCGGTTTCTTTCACTACGCGCACCATGCCTTTAGATTTCCGCCACGTCGCTGGCATCACGACGGGTGTTCCTGTCCATCTCGAAGCCCTTGTTCCGTCTAGCCATGTCTAGCCCCATGGACCTGCAGGCCCTTCTGACAAGGACCTCCATCAACGCCTGAAGCCACAACTTCACGCAAAGAATTGCTATTGTCGAAGACAGCCATAATTAGAAAGTGCTGCTCCACTGCCATGTCACCCGCAAGTGCAAGTAGAAAATCAGTGCAGTCAATGCTACTCAGCATCGGCCCATAATCCAGCCATCGCTTCGGTGAGGAAGGCAAGGTCTGGCTCAAAGCATTGCAACTGAGACCTCACCCGTGAATTACACGTGCCCGCGAAGCCCACATGAAGCTGTGAGGCGCTACTCCGTGCCTGAAGCAAGAACTCTCAGGCTGCATGGCATACACGGCCTAGCACACAGGCCGCCCACCCAGGATTCTCTGCAGTAAAACAAAAAAACAGGCGGAACGACCTGCATGTTGCCAACCTGCACATCGCAGCAAGCCCCAAAAAAAATAGCAGGACTCGGCCACCAGATGGGGCCCCCGGCACGCAGCGCACTAAGCAGCGCCTTTTGCGATGTTTCCTCTTGTCTGCCAAAGCTGCTTGTGGCATGCCTTGCGCCTTGCGTTTCAAAGATTGGCCGCACCGGCTCCACCAGGATTGCGGCAGCTCACCGACGGCAAGGGCCTCATTGACTCATCTCCACCCCTGAAGAACTCCACCCGCCCAATCACGCCCAATCACCCGCCTGGAGCAGGGGCTGTTCCAAGTCATCATCCTGGCAGCTCATCGTGGACCATCGAAGGCTCCGGCTTTCAGCCTCCGAATCACAAAAACCTACAGAATCCTACAGAATCCTACCCTTCCTTTTCTGGGGGTTTTGTTTTTGCATGGCCTGTGACCTCCGTGACCAGCTCCGGGCAGAGAGGAGCTCCTTCCCAGAGCGGTTGAAGCGGATGAAAGGCTGAGTGGTTAGCGCCGGGTAATCGTGCATTCCTGCCGTCCTGCCGTGAGTAAATGGCAAAGCCCTCCTCCCTCTCATCTGCATCATCGTCCGGAATGAGACGCAGTGCACCCTCTTCAAAGCCCACAACTCTCAGCCGTTCGATGTCCTGAGCCAAACCACATGAACGTTTAAGACGTAGCCACGTGTGGCAGACTCTGTGGCCACATGTGCGGTGAGTTGGAGCCAAGCGACATCCCCGATGCGAGGGCTCAGCTTTAAGGCACTTCGCTGCAGGTGGCCAATCAGAAAAGGAATTCCCGGAAGAGCCGCTGCCACGCGCAGCTCCAAGGTTTCCTGCAGAAAAGGGATCACAAGTGTTCACAGCGATTTTTTTTCAAAGGCTTTGCACCTTAGAGATGGCCAGGACTCGGCCCTCCACCACACCGAGAGCAGCCGGATTCATGGCTATGCTAAACCGCCTCAAGCTTCTCCTCCCATCCTCTTACCTCCTCCTCTCCCCTGCGATGGGTCTTAGAGAAGGCCCAAGTCGACAGCTTTTCTGAATCATCTAGTGTACACACCCCAAGTACAGAAGTCCGACACTCTTCCACATGCTGCGTGGCTCTACTAGCCAATTCACCTTTGACAGGGTTGCTGAAAGAAGGGCTGTCTCCATGTATGATATGAGTCCAAATGCTGATGCCACCTCCGCGCAGTAAGCTTGGAGCCGTCAGGGATGTTCGATATGCAGATCATCCTCAGGTCTTGTGAGACAGTAAGCTTGAATCAGAGATCACGGACCAGAGCTGTTTTCTCACCAGCTTGCTTCGCAGACTTGAAGAAAAGGTACGTTCCAACTGGCAATCCGATCATAGTAACGCACATTTGCACGCAGATCCACCTGGCATCTCGACTGTCATCAGTGCAAATTGTAAGGTTGGGGAAACGTCTGGCAGTTTTGCACGTCAAACATGCCCTGCTAGGCCATCTGATTCCTGAGCGGATCTTCTCGAGCACCAACCAACATGCGAGCACCTGTAACAGGCAATCTTCCAAATCATGCCAGGTCACTGCCAAGTTCATATGAAAAACTTGACGCATCAACAGCATGCAACCTCCATACTGGCGACCAACAAAAAGAGCATGGTGGAACCAACACGGCGAAGCAGTTGAAAGGCAGGCCACTTGCCTCGGATTTGCAGTGCTTACAGCCCCCAGTTGCTTATACATGCAATGGCTTTTTTAGTTCAAGCAGCTTGATGCAAGCAGCTTGATGCAAGCAGCTCAGGAGCGCGCTCAAGAGCGCCAGGTATCGCAAGACATCAGCTGTAGCCCAACCGCCCAACAAGACCTGTCCAACTGTTTTTTGTCAGCAAATGGTTTAAGCTGATGATCACACCTTGTGTAGAAGTGCTTCATCCAGAAGAGGAATGACGAAGATCGCAATTGTCGATCGGAAAGTGCAGATACCCAGCCCCACCAAAGTTTGCATGATTTGCATGATCTTTGTACCTGGCATTGGCACATCCGAAGTTCTAAACCACGGTTTCACTGCGTTACCATCTCAACCAACATTCAACAAAGAACGCCTTGTTTTGCTGCCGAAAGAGCTCCTTTGGATGCAATGCCTTCTGTATGCGATGATGGCAAGCTCTGCAAAGCAGTAA